TGGTCGGGCATTATCTTGTTGGAAAGTTGGATCTGCCAGGGCGTCAAGATAGGGTAAAAGATGGGGTTCTAGAACTTCGTGGATATAACGCTGCGCGTTCATGTTACCTCTGATGAAGATTAAAGGTGACCTGGAACCATAAGCTATAGCACCCCAAACCATAACTCCAACAGTGTGATGAACATGTCTTTCAACAAAAAACTGTGTATTCCTCCTTTCACCACGTCGCCTTCTAACCCTGGCACGACCATCGTGCATGCCTAAACAAAATCGAGATTCGTCGCTAAAGACAATACTGCTCCATTCCTGATCCCAGAGTGACCGTTGTTTGCACCACTCAAGGCGATTACGACGGTGTTCTCGAGTTAAAGGGAGGACCCAGTGCGGCCGGTATGAAAACAAGCCAAAACCTCTCATTCGTCAGTAAACACTTCGCATGCCAATAGGTCTTCCGTGTTCTGCAAACCATTCATTTGCAATGGACCTGGTAGTGGAGAAACGGTCCCTTAAGGCCAATAATCTTAGGCGGCGATCTTCACGGTCTGTTGTTCTACGGCGGCGTCCAGTGCCCCTTGCTCTTTGCGTACGGCCTTCTCGAAGCCATGCCTGGCAATACCTAACCACATTGTCTACACTTTTTTGCACTCTAACTGCAATTGCCCGAAAAGAAAGTCCAGCTTCCCGAAGTCCCACTATACGGCCCCTATCAAACTCACTAAGTTGACGAAATCGTACAGGTCTCCGTACTCTAGGCATCGTAACCGATCGTAAAGGATGTCAAGAACTAAAATCCGCCAACGTTGATTCTTTACTGCGGCTGAAATATTCATTTTTGGAGCGTTAGTGAATTAAAAAAAAGCAGTATAAAAACCGGAATGTCCAACTGATAAGGCTGAAAATTTTTTCACTTGTTATTTACAGTAAGATAAATACATTCACCAACTTTTATTAAAATAAAACCATTTAAACTATATTATCTAGGTATTCTCGCGCAACGACACTGAAGTGTGGCGAAGCACCGTCATGCATGCACCACATGCGACGTCCTTCTCTAAGAGTAATTTCCTCCATTAATCCAGATAGGTCAAATTCCAAAAATCTTCGGTACTCTTCGCCGCTAAGTCTGGGGGGAAGGAAATGAGGGCTAATCAAGCGGTCACTAACGATTACAATCCAAATATTGAAGAAAACTCGTGTTGCGTATCATGTTCAATTATAGCATGGGGATTTTCTGCACACCACACATGGTTATTATGGTTAAGCACAATATTTAAATATTAAAAGTATTGCAATCAAAACAAATCAATCAAATGTCATGCTATTTTTTTCAAAAAATACTGGATAGCATTATCCTCATCTACGTACATGGAGGGTCGGAAAACAACTTTAAAAAGTGATATTCACCACAGGGCATACATACACAGAAGCATATCCTCGGAAGCATAAGGTGAAAGTATAAGGTCTTGCTTCGGAGAAAAGGGTAGAAATATAAGCATACCCTTGTTTTCATAATCATAATGATCACCTTATACTCGCGAAGATATCCTCCAAGAAGAAGTAAAAGGTTGACGTGTATTTGTATCTTGAGCGACATGTCCTGACTTGTTCCAGCTTGTAGTTGACGTGGGAGTTCTTTCACTCAGCATCACTGACAGTTGTACTCCAGAGCTTACACAGACCGTTCCGTATTTTTACTGGATACAGTTTTTTATCAAATTAATAAGCATGCCATCTTCAAGTGATGAGGAAGCTACAGAAAATAATGGCAACGACCTGCAGTTCATCGCAGATGAAATTGCCATTGCTCCCGTTATTTTGCAAATGTCACAAGTTCCAAAAATAAACATGAGAAAGGACGATGCCTTGAAGAAGATGTGGAAAGAATACGAATCAACATTCGGTAAACCATGAGATACTAAAGGCTTATTAAAAAAAAAAAAACAACATGAAATCAACATTGAAGAAAAAAACAGATCTAAAAAAAACTGGTAATGAAGCAATTGAATTGTTAGATTGGGAAAGAAAGTTGCTGAAAGCTATGGAAGGTGACTGTAATCCTACAATTAGGTAAATTAGAGGTGCCATTCAGGTTGGTGGGAATCTAGGTTACAGCAACTTTTCTCATTTTATCATTAGTTGTCCGGGCATCTTAGAGCCTGCATCTTAAAATTTGTGCATTTTCGTTTAATAAAATCTATTTGTAAAGGCTTGTTTAAGTGATCTTTGGTTGATTAGTCGCAGTCTTGTGTTAGTTATGGCTACAGACTATGGAATTGGTGGTTCAGCCTACCTGTGGATAAAATCGTACTTGCAGAATAGGTCACAATTCGTATAGTTAACATAAATATAGGCGTACCACAAGGATCTATATTGGGGACAGTGCTGTTTTCCCTTTATATAAATAACCTGGAGCAATGTTTCCCTGAAGCACATTTCACGTTGTATGCAGACGATGCCTCCATCATTATATCAAATAAAGACGAGGCTGATTTAATAAATAAATGTAACACCTTAGTGTACAATATCAATAGCTGGTTTGAAGAAAATCAGTTACTTCTTAATAGCGAGAAGACCACAGTTATAAGGTTCCATAACATTCAAAAGTCGATACCAGCGATTCAGCTTGTTCTGAACGGTTCAGCACTGCAGAGTGATAAAAGCACTAAGTTTTTAGGGCTCCACTTAGACCAATGTCTCAACTTTAAAGGACATTGCGATTATCTATCATGAAAAATAAATTCACAAGCATATTTATTCAAGAACCTGAGATCTGTTTTCACAGAGAATCAGCTATTGATGTTGTATCATGGTCAGGTTGAGTCTCGCATGCTGTATGCTTTGTGCTTCTGGGGTTCATCGGTGAACGCTTCTAAGGTGTTCCTAAGTCAAAAACGGCTGGTGAGGTGTATGGTGGGAGTAAGCAGCACTTATAGTTGCAGAGAATTATTCAAGAGATTAAAAATAATGACACTGCCTTCGCTTTTTCTCTACAATATGGCTATCTATACTTTTTTAAACAAAGATGATTTCACCTTGAATAGTCATATACATCAAATGGGCACTCGCAGACAAAACGACATCTATATACCTTCTGCGCGTTATAAGTTAGGCAGCAGATCACCATGTATTTTAGGTCCTAAAATTTTTAACAACCTGCCTGACTTCATAAACAGGATCACCTCAATAGGCCAATTCAAATCTGAGCTGGAAAGCTACTTTATAAGTAACTGTTTTTATGCAATTAGCGACTTTGTCAGTTTTTAAATATCGTTTTTTATCACTAATTTTAACTTGTTTGTTGTTGGATGTTATTTGTTTGTTTTTTTTATTTATTTATTAACTTTGTACATATTTACTTATTGTATCTTTTTGACGAAACCTATACATGTTCATGCATGTCTAATGGAAAATAAATTCATTATTATTATATTATTATTATTATGATGCTCGTATATGGAAAAATTCGGCAGTGTGTGAAGTAATGAAAAAGTCAGGAAAGACTATTCTTCTAGGGGACCCCACCGACCCCCACGAGGATTATCAGAGAGTCTTTAACAGGCTGTTTACATGAGAGCGAGTTGTGATTGAGCATACATTTGGGCAAGTAAAGCGGCGATTTCCTATCCTGAAGTATGGATGCAGAGTAAAACTGACCAGTATTCTAAAAGTTATAATTGCGTGTGCTGTGTTGCACAACATAGCTAAGCAATTAAGATGGGGGGGCTTTTTCGTTTGATGCCTCGTTTATATTTTTTAGCTTGGCAGAGTAATGTTGTTGTTGGAGCCGAGCAACTTTCAGTTGTTCAATCGTTGAAGCTGGGTTGTCGTTAACTGCCTCGTCTCGTCAGACTCTTGTTTGCCCGAAGCACAGGTAGGCTTCGGAGGAATTTTTTTTGCAGCAACCTCTTCAACCGATGCGTAGGATCGCTTTTTGTTAGCTACTACTTGAGGCATAATCATCTGATGAGCGTCGTTTTCCACCATAATGTCATCCTTTGAAATAGGTAAAGAAGGTTGACTTGCCACGCCAATTGCAAGAGCCCCTAATACAAATAAACATGCATGATAAGTACCTACAAGGTAATAGTAAAGACATGATTCTATTTCTCACCTGGTACCCGACTTAGTACAGGATTTATGTCCGCATCCATAGCCTGTAACATAACTTTCTTCCAGGACAAAAGACGAATGGGCTTGTTCCCTGTTTTATTTTTGTCAGTTTTATTTTTCAGTCGCGTTTTCATATTGTTCACTTTTTTCATAAAAGCTTTAATATCCATCTCCTTGCCAAATAAAGTAACGTATTCCTTAACGATGTCAGTTAATGCAGCAGTTTTCTTCTTTTGCATCGCTGGAACTTGAGATTTCTCGAGAATCTCCGGAAATGCTTGGACTTTTTCAGCGATAAACCTCATCTCGTTAGGGACAACTTCGGTAACTTTCTGTTCACTATCGGTGTCAGACATTTTAAATATTTTATTCACTTTAAAATACCTGCACAAACAAGTTAGATGGATCTTCTTTACATCAACTGACGTGCGAACTGCTTTTAATTATGAGACAAATAAGATCAACCCCATCAGTTACAGACCACATACGCGTTGATCGCACGCTGCACGTCATATCTTGTCGAAATCGCTAATCTCCGTACCTTTTACTTTATTTTCCCGAAGCATTTGCTTGCAAAGAAGAGGTAGAGATTATGAATACGAACCTTTTACTTCTACCTTTTGCTTGTACCTTTTACTTCATTTTTATAAATACGAGCTATTATCATTTCTTTTATTTCTAATATGGTCTAGCTTGAAAGCAAAGCCATTGCGGACCCATGTTCATATGGAAATTTCGTCTTTAAATTGACCAAGGATTCGACGGTTAAAGTTTGTCTGCATCCTTTATTGACACCCTGTATATTACAATGGCCCTTCTTTCATTATTAACACCCTGTCTACGTATTTTTTTTTTCATAAACAATATTTTACTGACGCAATTTTCGTTTCAGTGATAGCAACTGTGAAAGAGCCTGTATCTGGTTGGATAGACAACGTATACGGCGCGACTGGAGTACTGTTGGGAGTTGCAATGGGACTGCTCAGGGTACTGCGATGTGGCAAAGACAACAAGGCGGACATGGTACCCGCTGACTATGTAGTGAACAGTTGCTTGGCGGTTGCGTGGGACGTGGCGTCTATGAAGTAAGTACAGGGTGGCCGATATCTAGCTGAAGATTTGCGAAATGAAATTTTTCATCTTAATCTTTTATTGAAACTTGGAAATTATGTGTGAAAAATAATATGCAAGGGTGGGTTCTCGATGAGTAAATAATGGTAGATTCGAGAGAGTATACTTTATCTGAAGTCACTTGAAACACTGTGAAATACCGGGTGTGTTTTATATATCTATATTTAACACGCTCTGTTGCTGCAAAAATCGCCAAATTTCGCAGCAAATATCCCCCGTATAAGAGATCAAAGGCAGTTTCACCGGTCCACGTGGAGTAAAGCACGCCTATGCGTGGACATAGCCAATGAGAAAGCGTGTATTTCAGAGCTAGGAACAAGTGCAGGTGGCTACTGAAAATTGAAACAGTTTAGCCAGTGCCGTGTAGCGGTGAATAAACGTGTTTTCTTTAGTCTGTCCGTGTTTTTTCATAGATTTTATTAGTTTGTGTGTTTTTGACTTTTGAATACTCAGTTTACTTGTTGATTTAATTGTTCTTGTGTGTCCTAAATATGGCTCTTTGGAGACCTTGGGAAAATGCTCCAAGCCACGAGGAGATGGTTGATGAACCTGTGCAGGCAGAATTCTTTCATAAAGATTTAGAGGAACAGACCCAAAGAGTAATCCTAAATATGTATGATTGTCTGAAAAACGAAAATCCAGATTCCTCGCAAAATCAAATTTTAAACAGAATTTGTATCCTGACAAAAATCAGTCGGTCTACCATTTATCGGGTTATAAAAAAGGGAGATGTAGTCAACCATTCCTTCCACAGAAAGCGCATAGGGCAAAAATTAAAAAGAATAGACGCGGGTTTTCAGGAAGATATTCGTCGTATAATATACGGATTTTATAAAGAAAATTTGGTGCCCACGTTGGAAATGATACGGGATAAATTAAAAGATTATCCTGAAGATTTTTATAATTACAAATGCTTAGACTCACTGAACTGTATTGTAAAACTGTGTGGTTTTCAATACAAAAAATTAGATAATAGAATGGTGATTATGGAGTCGTCTCGAATCGTTGAATTGCGCCAAGAATTTTTGCACAAAGTTAAAATCTATAGAGAGCAGAAAAGAAATCTGATTTACCTGGATGAAACGTGGTATGATACCCATGATGTTGTGCAGCGCGGCTGGATTGACGACAGCAACAAGTGCATTTTAAATGCACCATGCAACCGTGGAAAACGAATCATTATTCTCCATGCTGGCAGTGAAAATGGATTTATACCTAATGCCTTGCTGTTATCTGATAAAAATATCAAAGAATCATGTGCCGACTATCATGAGGACATGACCTCCGACTTATTTGAAAAGTGGATAGAGCAGCAGTTAATACCAAACATTTCCCCAAATTCAGTGATTATTATGGACAATGCGCCATACCATTCCCGACAGAAAAACAAAATTCCGAATACAGGCACAAAAAAACAAGACATTATTGATTTTATGAAGGATAAGGGAATGGAAATCCCACAAAAATCAACCAAAGCCATATTATTGGATCTTATTAAAAGACAAAAATTTGAAAAAGAGTATGTTGTTGACAATCTGCTTCAGCAAAATGGCCATGAAGTATTACGTCTACCTCCCTATTAGTGCATTTTTAACCCGATTGAGTTGGTCTGGGCTGCTTTAAAAAAAAAAGTAAGAAAACATAATCAAACCCCTCAAGTGAATCGCTATTGGCCACAATAAGAGATGCAGTATCTCATATTGCTGCCACAGACCTATGGAAGCAGTGTTCTAGGCATATTATTGAAAAAGAAAATGAGTATTGTGTTTTGCCCCCTGTAAATCCCGTTGTAATTCCTCTACAAGATGACTCTAGCGACAGCTCCGAAGGCGAGGATGATATATAAATACCTATAATGTAAGTCTTTATATACCTTTTTATATACCTACCTGCTATGTAAATATTTGCCTATGTCAAACGTTGGAATTCTGTAATTTTTCCATTTCTTAACTTTCAGTCAACATAAATTAAACTCCCAATATAAGTATTTTTTATCCCAAATCAAAAAAATAAGAAGATAGTAAAATCCATTTATTGTGATATAAAAACATTATTATTATCGTTCTAAATAAATGCCGCACGCCTATGATACGTCATGAAATTACAAAGGACGCGCCGACCAAAGATTTTTATGCTATTTCAAGTGACTTCAGATACACCATACACGATTTATTGAAATCTCACAAAACACAGCAATTCCAAGCAAAACTTAAATGAATAGATAAATCGCGACCCTGCACCGACGCGTGTCCAGGGTCGACTGACTGCCCAAATCCTCCCATAGTTGCCAAGTGTCCCTTGCACATTCACCTTATCGTCACACACATCACTAAACCACCACAAATATCAGACAAGAAGCCGCGCAAACCGGAGCCCCCTTTATTACATTTTCGATTACTTTTTGGTCGGTTTCGGGAAGAATATTTTCAATCGCTTCCGTAATATTGTTCTTCAGCTGATCTATACAGTATTTGGTTTGCTGTCATAAACCCTATTTTTCAAAAATCCCATAAAAAAGTCAGGAGCTGTTAATTCCGCTGACCTTGGTGACCAGTTGACATCGTTATCAGTGAATATCGTTATTTTAGGTATTAACACGTTGACTGCCACCTTTTTTCGGTTGGTTTTACCCAGGAGGCAATTAGATATATATATATTAATTTGTTATTTTGGTGGTATAACTTCGTAAAATCAGTTAATGATGTATTTTCGTAAAATGTTTTTTTAATTAGAAAATTTTTTGTGGCTCTTCTAAGAGCCGACGGTGCTGAGTTACAAATCGGTTTCCTGTGTGCCAGCTGGCGCTCATAAGAGTCGGAAGATAATTATTTATTTTTTATAATAGAAATAAACTAAAAGCAAAAAAAAAACATTTATTATCGAACGTTAACAAGAATAAAATATTAAAAATAGTTTCTGTAACTCAAAATAGTAGAGAACATATAAAAGTAATGGGTGATTTTTTTGCTAGTATCTTTTTGGCAACACTGTTTTTGACAGATGACGCGTGAATCGTGTCTTGTGTCATTGTCAAACTTGTTCAGTTTGGTCTATAATTTAACCATGAATCGACTTACAAACGAACAACGTTTGCAAATTATTGAATTTTACTATCAAAATTCATGCTCGGTTAAGAGAGTGCATCGAGCACTGCTTCCAATTATGGGCAATTTGGTCGGCCTACTGAGGGAGCTTGTGAATAAATTTCGAACCCAGTTTACATTATTGGACATTGAACCACCAACATGCAGACGTCGAGTGAGAACTGAAGAAAATATTGCGGCTGTATCCGCCAGTGTTAGTGAGGACCGTGAAATGTCAATTCGCCGCCGTTCGCAGCAATTGGGCCTCTATTATTCCACTACATGGAAAATTTTGCGACAGGATTTGGGTGTAAAACCTTATAAGATACAGCTGGTGCAAGAATCGAAGCCACACGACCTCCCACGACGTTTCGAATTTGGTGAATGTGCGCGGCAAAGTTGGAGGAAGATCCACATTTTTATCGAAAAATTGTGTTCAGCGACGAAGCTCATTTCTGGCTGAATGGGTACGTTAACAAGCAAAATTGCGGCATCTGGAGTGAAGACCAGCCAGAAGCATTGCAAGAGCTACCAATGCATCCCGAAAAAATCACTGTTTGGTGTGGATTATGGGTCGGTGGCACCATCGGGCCGTACTTCTTCAAAGACGACAATGGCCGGAACGTAACTGTGAATGGCGAGCGCTACCGTGCGATGATAACAAACTTTTTTTCGCCCAAAATGGAAGAGCTGGACTTGGTTGACATGTGGTTTCAACAAGACGGTGCCACATGCCACACCGCACACGAAACAATGGCCCTATTGAGAGGCGCGTTCGGTGAACAGTTTGGGGCCCGTCAATTGGCCGCCTAGATCGTGTGATTTAACGCCGTTGGACTATTTCTTGTGGGGCCATGTTAAGGCTAATGTCTACAGGGATAAACGAGCAACGATTGACGCACTGGAAGCCAATATTGAAGCATTTATTCGTGAGATACCGGCCGATATGTTGGAGAGAGTGTGCCAAATTGGACCTTGCGCATGGGCCATCTAAAGCGGAGCCGCGGCCAACATTTACATGAAACAATCTTCAAACATTAAATTATATCGACCGTTCTATCGACTCAAATAAAGATTTAATCGTTTTTTCAAATGTTTTGTGTTTTTTTGAAAATCATATCCTATACCTCTTAAAAAATCACCGGTTATAACAAAAACTTTTTCTGTAAATAATACACCTAATGTGTAATCTAATCAAAAATAAGAAATAAAACAACTTTTTTTTAGAATAGAAACACGACTTTGTGGTGAATGCAGACTATTTTTAGTGCAAAAAATTATTTGTGAATAAAGTCACTGCACTCCAAGCAGAATCCTGGAACATCAGGGCATGTTCTACATACGTACATAGTTTGGGTACGGATTCCTTTCTTGCTACAAGACTGCCATCTTTTTCTAGATACTTGTTTTTTACCATCTAAATCACGTTTTACTAATTTGTGTCCTTGAGCCTGCAGTACTGTACCTTGTCTCTGATAAGAGCCAGCGGCACCGGCAAACATATCACGTTGACTCTTATAGCGAACGTGTTAATCTGCAATATTGCATGACTGTACTGTCGGCGACTTTCATGGTCACCAGGCTGTAATTCTTGGGCTAACTGAATTTTCTATGCCCACAAATGCTAGTCCTCTTTTAAAATGCGTGACGACGTGCGACGAATGCCCAGTTCTTGAGAACGATGTCTGGTAGACGTCTCACGGCGCCCCACTACACTCTCACGAACTCTCTCGACATTTTCCGGAGTACGAACAGTTTGAACTCGGCCCGACCTCGGCAAGTCCTCAACTTCACCTGTTTTTTCAACACCAATTGACGAATGGTGTTGAGACTGGGAACATTATTTCGACCAAAATCTTGGCGGACGCGTTGTGGGATCGTGTAACACTTCATGATGAATTGAACACATGTGCTTCAAACAAGTCTAAGGCGCCACCTACTCAAATACGTGTATCAAAAATGGAGCGCAATTTAATACAGTCAATCGCTACGCTGATGACAGCACTCTACATGCAGGAATGCAGAGCGATAAGCCTATTTCTTTCTCTCTGATTAGAGACCTGGAGGTTATCACTGCCTGGGGACGTAACAATCTTCAAAGTTCAATGCTTACTAATCACTGTATTGTACGTTCACGAACAAACAGCGACCTAGCGCTCATCCGGTTTAGATGGATGGCCGTGTTTTGCTGAAAAATCCGTTAATTTTGGCTGGTTGCAGTTCAGCTTCGTTACGCACTTTAAGAATCAATTCAACAGTTCAATCATCTTTTGTTATATATATATATACATTTTTTAGTATTATATGACCTTAAAATTACTTTAAGAAGGAAACGTATGATTAGAGCTCAGGGAACTCAAAAGTCTGAACGTTCGTCTTCTAGAGCTTTTCATCTTGAAATAACCTTGAGATGATACATAAATTGCATCGTAAAGAAAGACCAAAATTACATTGTCGGTAAAATTTAACCTCAACAACCTATAGATATACTAAGTGACATATAAATCCGAACACCCAGTTTAAATGGTTTTATGTTAATAAAATTTTGTATAAGTACTTAATGAAGCATAATAAGTAAATGATAAAAATTTCAAAATGATTGCACTGCTTTAAAGCCCTTTGACCTTTAATAATGTGTGGATGCACCCTGATGTGCTACGCATTCTCCAACGCGCCTAGGCATGCTTCTGATCAGGTGGTCAATGTCCTCCTGTGGTATCTCATTCCAGGCAACCACCAACTCCTCTCGAAGTGCTTCTAGAGTCTGAGGAGGACGTTGCAAATTGAGCAATCTCCTACCCTTCATATCCCACACGTGCTCAATTGGGGATAAGTCGGGAGATCTTGGTGGCCATGGTAACAATGTGACATCATTATGTTGAAAGAAGTCTATTGTGACTCTTGCAACATGTGGTCGGGCATTATCTTGTTGGAAATTTGGATCTGCAAGGGTGTCAAGATAGGGTAAAAGATGGGGTTCTAGAACTTCGTGGATATAACGCTGCGTGTTCATGTTACCTCTGATGAAGATTAAAGGAGACCTGGAACCATAAGCTATAGCACCCCAAACCATAACTCCAACAGTGTGACGAACATGTCTTTCAACAAAAAACTGTGGAATCCTCCTTCCACCACGTCGCCTTCTAACCCTGGCACGACCATCGTGCATGCCTAAACAAAATCGAGACTCGTCACTAAAGACAATACTGTTCCATTCCTGATCCCAGAGTGACCGTTGTCTGCACCACTCAAGGCGATTACGTCGGTGTTCTCGAGTTAAAGGGAGGACCCAGTGTGGCCGGTATGAAAACAAGCCAAAACTTCTCATTCGTCGGTAAAGACTTCGCATGCCAAGACGTCTTCCGTGTTCTGCAAACCATTCATTTGCAATGGACCTGGTAGTGGAGAAACGGTCCCTTAAGGCCAATAATCTTAGGCGGCGATCTTCACGGTCTGTTGTTCTACGGCGGCGTCCAGTGCCCCTTGCTCTTTGGGTACGGCCTTCTCGAAGTCATGCCTGACAACACCTAACCACAGTGTCTACACTTCTTTGCACTCTAACTGCAATTGCCCGAAAAGAAAGTCCAGCTTCCCGAAGTCCCACTATACGGCCCCTATCAAACTCACTAAGTTGACGAAATCGTACAGGTCTCCGTACTCTAGGCATCGTAACCGATCGTAAAGGATGTCAAGAACCAAAATCCGCCAACGTTGATTCTTTACTGCGGCTGAAATATTCATTTTTAGAGCGTTAGTGAATTAAAAAAGCAGTATAAAAACCGGAATGTCCAACTGATAAGGCTGAAAATTTTTTCACTTGTTATTTACAGTAAGATAAATACATTCAACAACTTTTATTAAAATAAAACCATTTAAACTGGGTGTTCGGATTCATTTGTCATTTAGTATATATCAGATACAAAAATACTTCACTCAACGGTATGTGTCTCCCTCAATTTGGCCCTGATTCTGACTATACCGACTATACTAAGGTTACCAAAACGGAAGCGAGTAGCATAACATATCCGTCTTCGAAGTGGTGTACCGTGTGTTATGCTAACGTATTTCCTAAAAGTTTCGGCACAAAATCCACAAAAAATAAAGTAATATCGAGTTGCCTTTGGGAACAAAAGTTTGTTTACTTACGAGGGTGGTTCGATAAGTTCCCGTGTTTGACGACAGAAGGCGTTCTTGATGAAAGTTAATGTTACCATCGTGTGCTGCCATCTATCAAAGGTCGGCACAACAAATTTCAGCCTGTTTGATAGGAAAAGTGTATATTCCTGAAAGGGGATTATGTTGAAAAATAAAAAGAAATTTTTTGGAAAAAATTCATGTCTTCATTTCTAACACTTGTTAGCGTAGTACTTATGTATTGAATTATATGATAACTAGTTAGTGTTTAAATAAATTTCTTCATTAAGACTTCGACAGATATTTTGCGCCAAAACTTTCAGGACATACGTTACTCTCTTCTGTATTGGTACCAGACTATAGGAGGGAGGAGTAGTGACATATAAATCCGAACACCCAGTTTAAATGGTTTTATTTCAATAAAATTTTGTATAAGTACTTAATGAAGCATAATAAGTAAATGATAAAGATTTCAAAATGATTGCACTGCTTTAAAGCCCTTTGACCTTTAATAATGTGTGGATGCACCCTGATGTGCTACGCATTCTCCAACGCGCCTAGGCATGCTTCTGATCAGGTGGTCAATGTCCTCCTGTGGTATCTCATTCCAGGCAACCACCAACTCCTCTCGAAGTGCTTCTAGAGTCTGAGGAGGACGTTGCAAATTGAGCAATCTCCTACCCATCATATCCCACACGTGCTCAATTGGGGATAAGTCGGGAGATCTTGGAACTCCAACAGTGTGATGAACATGTCTTTCAACAAAAAACTGTGGATTCATCCTTTCACCACGTCGCCTTCTAACCCTGGCACGACCATCGTGCATGCCTAAACAAAATCGAGACTCGTCACTAAAGACAATACTGTTCCATTCCTGATCCCAGAGTGACCGTTGTCTGCACCACTCAAGGCGATTACGTCGGTGTTCTCGAGTTAAAGGGAAGACCCAGTGTGGCCGGTATGAAAACAAGCCGAAACTTCTCATTCGTCGGTAAACACTTCGCATGCCAATAGGTCTTCCGTGTTCTGCAAACCATTCATTTGCAATGGACCTGGTAGTGGAGAAACGGTCCGTTAAGGCCAATAATCTTAGGCGGCGATCTTCACGGTCTGTTGTTCTACGGCGGCGTCCAGTGCCCCTTGCTCTTTGGGTACGGCCTTCTCGAAGCCATGCCTGACAACACCTAACCACAGTGTCTACACTTCTTTGCACTCTAACTGCAATTGCCCGAAAAGAAAGTCCAGCTTCCCGAAGTCCCACTATACGGCCCCTATCAAACTCACTAAGTTGACGAAATCGTACAGGTCTCCGTACTCTAGGCATCGTAACCGATCGTAAAGGATGTCAAGAACCAAAATCCGCCAACGTTGATCCTTTACTGCGGCTGAAATATTCATTTTTAGAGCGTTAAAAGCAGTATAAAAATCGGAATGTCCAACTGATAAGGCTGAAAATTTTGTCACTTGTTATTTACAGTAAGATAAATACATTCACCAACTTTTATTAAAATAAAACCATTTAAACTGGGTGTTCGGATTTATATGTCGGTTAGTATAGTAGAATAAATAATAGATATAAATATGGGCACAAAACCAATTGTTTGTTTTGCTCAGGAATAAGGATGACAGAAAACGAGTTTCATCAACCATCGTCTTTTTGGTGTTAACATTCTTACCATGGGCTAGCGTAGCAGAGTCCATACCCATTTGCCAACCAGCGATATTTGATTAACTTGAAACTTTTTAACCGTGTTCTAGAACATTAAATAACAACAAGGAGACACAAGACCAAGAAAGTAGGGAGGAGAAATTTGACAAGGAGATACCTGTATATAATTTTGTATGCACCCCAGAGCAACCCATCACGTGGGGTAGGTATTTTGCAACATTATGCATTTCCATTTCTGTCTGAGTATAGGTTTTCCGCATTATACACCAAATCATTTATTGTGAATAGTGTAGTTTTGTAGAAGAGTCCATACAGTACAAGACAATTGAAAAAACACTTTTATGCTAAAGTATAATAGATTTTGAGAGAAACAAAACTGTTTTTACTTATTCTACCAAAAGCTTAAGCACTTCTCTGTTCAGTTTATAGATCCCATATTTCTATTTTAATTTTCTAGATGAATTCCAGCATTTGAGTACCAAACATGCCCCGCAGATACCGACAGACAAAATCGTGTGGCGTCACATGCTTTTCATGGTTAAGAACAAATATCTGTACAATGTGTTAGTGTTCCTGTTGCATACCATACCTGCATACTTAATCGATTTCATCATTATTTGTTTGGGAAAGAAACCACTGTAAGTATACGAAGTCGGTACGTTGAGAATTTTAGAATATAAAGGGGGATTCGCAAGTCGTGACCAAAAATGAAACATCATACATTCTATGTAACATTTTTTTCCTCGAGGGATTCATTAAGAAGATACATTATGTATAGGGTGACTTGTAATGTTACGTATTCGTGTTAACGGGTGATAGATTAGGTCAAAAGCAACCGCGTAGACGTAGTAGAGTCTTCCGGAAACACACGAAGGATTTCCTCTTCATCTTCAGGAGGATAGCCTCGGGGTCGACCAGCATCACTATGTTGCCTTTGAACACGTCCGGTTTGGCGGATGCGCCGATGCACAGAGTCAAACACAGTAACATGAGGTGTTCGGCGATTCGGGAAACGTTGCCGATATTCACGGCGGGCAGCTGCAGAATCGCCGTTACAAAGTCCATAACAGAACATTATGTCTGCGTATTCTTCATTTGTAAAAGTTTGCCCGTGCTCGCTATGGCGAGGTCCTGGCGGATCTTCTGCGTCCGCCATGATGATAAAGAAACCACTCGAAATGAACTGGGAAACTCGAAAATAATAATCGTGCGTAAAACGTGTGCGCGTACGCAGTGGTTGATACCAACGAAACCTAATTCTCACTCGGCGTGCGGCGATGGCGTAACTACAATGATGAATAATAACAACTCTCTCTCTCTCTCTCACTCCTCCACTAAGTCAGCTCTTCTCGCTCGCTTCCTCGTCGAGCCGATGTCATAAAACAATCATGGCATGCGAGTCCTTTGAGGACAGTAACGACTTGTTCAAACAGGTAATACAAATTCCGTAAAAATCCAGCCTCTGTGGGTGTCATTGTTGTTTCTCTGCATGTACTTCAGATAATTGAACGTTTAATACCTCAAATGAAAGCTTGTTAGATAGAGATATTATTTTCATAATTTGCACATTTCATTACTAGGAGATTTTTTACAGAAAATTGCATTTTTTATCGAATAAGTTAGTAAAAAAAAAGAAAATAATACATTCAAAAAGCGTAATTTTAAAACGTTTGTAGCTTTTCAACATTTTATTACTTATTATGAACTATTGGAATATCTGCTATGCGACGATAACAAAAAACTCAAAATCAAACATGTAGTTTTTTTGTATTTCAATTTTAATCGTCTGAAATCGGAATAAAAAATAAAAAAATTAAAATTCAAATCACTCAAAAATGGTTAACTTTTGGATAAGACATAATAGAACGAAATCGGTTGCTTTTGACCTAATCTATCACCCCTTAACAGGAATACGTGACATTACAAGTCACCTTGTATATAATATAATATTTGTTTTAAATATCTATTTAATATCTTTTAAATATTTTAAATACAATATGTCTTTTATAATATTTATTAAATATTTACTTTTCAATCGATGGAAAATATTAAACCTCCAATATTTAGCGATCATATTTGTTTTTTTTTTCTATATATTAATTCTATAAATAGCGTGAACTCCAAATTTGACTCGACGCCCTTTACTTATCGGTAGCATCCTTGATAACTTTTATGCACAAGAAGTTTGCTGGTGAAACATCAAGTTTAATTTACTTCAAAAAATTACGATGCGTATTACAACCTGACCCGTGCGCACTATTAAATGCAAAAACCCAGCTGATGTAGGGTTACAGTAACATGACATCACGCATTAAATTTTGATATTAATTTCTGAGTTATCGTACAACTTTCAAAGTTTCCACTGTCGTATTTTATTATTATTATTATTATTATTATTATTATGATAATTGAGATGAGCAGAGTACACAGTACTATAAGCTCATACAGTAAATATAGTGTACGGACACGTAACACAAATACATCAAATAGAAAAAAATAAAAAAAGACAGTTCATAGATATAAAGTTTGTACACTCCTCCAGCTATCATACTGCACTTTGAAGCTATTAACTGAAGTAGCACCAACCAAACTATTCCAGGTGTTGAATATGCGGTTAGGAAGAAACCACTGTCGGACTGTTGTTTTAAATGGCTCATTATGCAGTTTGAAGCTGTGTCCGCGTAGATTGCTGCGCGACAGACGGTATAGATGCATGAGGTTGGTGCCCATCAAACCATGAAGTATCCTGAACGTAACTATAAGATCGCCACGAAATCTTCGCTCAGAGAATGAGGTCAGGTTGAATAATTCAAGGCGATCTTCATAGCTTGGTCTTCGTGCTCCAAAAGGGATACGAGTAGCCCGACGCTGTGCTGATTCGACGAGATTTCTATCGCGCAGAAGCACAGTGTCCCATACCGGGCCAGCGAATTCAAGAATTGGCCTCACGAATGCCTTGTAAATGTAGGCGCAAGTGTTGACATCGGATCCTTTGAAAGACCTCTCCAGCATGTATAGAAGTTTCTTGGCTTTTGATGTAACGTGGTGAATATGCTCTGACCAGGAAAGACGATCGTTGACTACAACGCCCAGATCAGTGTGGCTGGAAACTGCTTCGATGTTGTGGTCAGAGATCTTGTATGTAAATCGCGGATTTGTCTTCCCGAGGTGAAGGACACAACACTTAGTTAGATTTAAGGGTAAAAGCCAACTGACTGACCATTGACAAACAATATCAAGATATCGTTGAAGCATAGCAGAATTTACGACAGTATTGTAAATCTTGGTGTCGTCGGCATAAGCTGAACATGTGGAGGAAATCAATGCGGGCAGGTCACTTCTATACAGAAGGAACAGCACTGGCCCCAAGACAGAGCCTTGAGGAACTCCACTTGCTACATGATGAAGGTGAGACTGGCTATCACTGACGCGCACAGAGAAAGTCCTCCCGGTGAGAAAAGCCTTAATCCACAGTAACAACTCGCCTCTTATTCCCATACATTCCAACTTAAACAGAAGCCTTCTATGTGGTACGCGATCGAAAGCCCTAGAAAAATCTAAGTTGATTATATCAACAGGAGTCTTTGTGTCCAGATACTGAATCCAATCGTTGAGAGAGTGGAGAAGGTTGGTCATTATTGATCGACCAGGGAGAAATCCATGCTCATTCTTAGGGATAAGGTCATTTTAGAAAGCAAATGACAGGAGCTTATCTAATATGATTCTTTCAGCTATTTTGGCGGCGATAGGAACGAGACTTATTTGTCGATAATTTTTAGCGGAGGATTTGTCGCCCTTTTTGAATACAAGGGTAACAGAAGTAACAGAAGCACTAAGCCAGCATGAGGGTAGGGTATGAGATCTAAAAGACGATGTGAATATCAAGCTTAATGGTAGGGCCAGTGCTGAAGCGCAGTTTTTAAGTACAGCAGCCGTCATCCCATCTTTACCAGGGGAGGAAGAGGTCTTTAGATTTCGCAGGTGCATTATTACATCTTCAGGCAGGAACTCAACTTCGCAAAGGCTGTCGGGACACCTATGGCAGATAGTGGTCGGTAGAAGGTCTCCATTAGGCTCATCGATGAAGTCATCACTAAAGGACTCTGCCAGTAAGTTGGCATATTCGGTGGCATCCATGTGGAGATGACCGTCAACGTCGCGGATCTGAGGTGATGAAACTTTGGAATTCAGGTTTGTTCTTAGATACCGAAACAGCTTCTTCTTATTTTTGGAGGTAACGAGTTTTCGTTCATAAGCATGTTTGGCATTATGTAACGTTCTACATAGGAGGTTAGAAAAGGATCGATGAGACACGTAATCTTGTGTATGGCCACTCCTCCTAAACCGTTGCCACAAAGATCTCTTGTGACGAAGCATCCTCGATATGTTAGAGTTGATCCAGGGCTTTGAGGGGTCACAGTATACCTTCTTTTCAACAGTATTGTCAGCCGTTTCACTTAGGACTCGTGTCCCACATATCTTGGGTGCTACGGTTGTTAAGCAAAGCAGGCCAGTTGACTTCAGACAGGGCTTGGTTAAGAGCATCGTGGTTTACAATTTTGATGGTTTCAAACTTATCGGTTGTAGAACGTCTATTTATATTGAACTGGAGAGAAGATAAAAGTGAACAGTGGTCAGACATGCCAAAAGGTGGCAAATAATCTAAATTAGAAACAAAATCGGCGTCGTTAACGAATATCAAATCCAGAGCCCTAGGCGTCTGTCCTTCCCTGAATCTCGTTGGGCGATCAACAAGTTTTGTCAGTAATTTATGTTATTCGCAAAACAGTTATAGTGCGCACTATTTGCCGTCTGTCCCCGATCATACCACTGCCCCCCCTAGTACATATTGCCGACCGGGCCGTCACCACTGGTCCGTCAAAAAGTATTTTTTATCAAATTTGCTCACAGCTTAAGCGCGCGCGAAGAAGTTTTTCCTACATCAAGCGGACCGCATAGGCAACCAGTCTCGCGCTATCATTCTGAGCTTAGAGTTAAATCAAAGTTGACGGATGCAGTGCTGCCAGCGTTTAGTAGAAAATACCAGTACGGCATCCATTTATGTGTGCTTTACAGATTTATGTAAGAGATTTGGAACTTTAAAAACGAACTAAATTCACCTGGGGGAGCGGGTAATGACCCCCATGACGCCCCCCTGAATCCAGGCGTGAATCTGACATACATGCATTTACTCTACCGATGTTGATGTCTACATTTTTTCCTAGGCTGGTGAAGGGGTACCAGAAAATCAACAAATTCTCCGACGTCATCGCGTATTTCTCATCGAACGAATGGGAGTTTAAAAACGCCAACACTCAAGCGCTGTGGAACCGCATGAAGAAAACCGATCGTCAGTTGTTCGAGTTCAGCATGAAACTGGTCAACTGGGACATGTACTTTTACACGTACACCAGGGGAGCAAGAACCTACTTGGTCAAAGATAAACTCGACGAGGACAGTTTGAGACGCGGCAAAGCGAAGTACTACAAATTATTTGTCGCTCATTACGCTTTGTGCGGTTTGCTCCTGTTTTTAGTCTTCAAGTTTTTCATGCTTATTTTCGGGCTTTTATTGTGAGTCACTTGTCAGATACGGTGTGTACATAGTTACTATTTAAGGAAGGCAGTCCGACGATCGGATTTATTATGATTCATTGTTTTATTTTTTGTGAGTATAGTCTGCGAAGGGTTCGGAAATACGGAAATATCGAAACTGGAGATACTACAGACTAAAATATGTAAATTGACCCAAAAGTTGATAGTTTGCGAGAGATCAAAGTTACAATTTTATTTTCTATTTTTTCGTATTGCTTGAGAAGTATTTCGGATTTTGGCATAAAACTGGGCATAGGGTGGTTTTACTTATCATAACTTTTTTGTGCTACCCTGTATACAACAACTGATCAAAACATCTTATTTGCGCATATTTACACAACAAAAAAGTTTACTTGTTAGAAGTGTCATAATGTTGCTTTAAACTTCATGAATAATTTTAAGTTGACAATCAGTTGTTAAACATCATGGAGTATACGTTTGATGAATCTTCTGATTTAATGTACGGATTGGCTTTAGAAGCAAACATCTCGAAAACTATTAGCTTTAGACATTTCTAACAAGTAAACCTTTTTTGTTGTGGAAATACAAGAAAATAAGATTCTTTGGTCAGTTTTTGTATACAGGGTAGCACAAAAAAGTTATGATGAGTTATCCATCGAAATAGTGTTGTAAGTGGCGCCATCTAGAAGTTTGGCCATGAAAAAGAACAGATTCTTAATTCTCATGCTAGAAAAGCTACCTATACCGAGTGTTAAGCCAAAATCTGAAATATTTCTCAAGCAATAAGGAAAAATAGAAAATAAAATTGTAACTCTGACACCCTGTATCTCACAAACTATCAACTTTTGGACTGAGGTATGTTTAGGTTAATTTATATATTTTGGTCTGTAGTATCTCCAGTTTCGAGACTTCCCAACCTTTCGCAGACACCGCGTATATCTTAGCTGCAACTTTTTTTAACCTAGATATCTCTAGTACAATTTCAAACAATGCTTTTCAAAAAGTTACTTATTCTTTGATAGAATCAAGTTAGCGTGTTGAATACTACACTACTCAAAAAAAAAATTAACTAAACAAGAAAAGATTTGACATTTTTCGGTGATTTTAGTATTTCCGCGAAAAATGGCATTTTAAAGCTTTAAGATTCCTATTTTCAGGTTTTCATGCAATTTTTACAGAATTTTTTGGTTTGAAATTTTTTTGCTGTTTGGCGCGGAGATATCTGACTTGATACTGAAACAGGAATATATTGTAAAATGTTTCCAATTCTTTTTTGTTTAAATTGAACATGTTACAGATATCCAATATTAACAACAAAAGAAGAAAAATGATTTTTACATTTCCAGGTGTTTTACTACAAAAATTTTGCTCCTTTGACTTCTTATTCTTATTAGGGGTAAGTTATGAAAACCTGAAAACGTTAACCTTCTAATTAGCAGTTCCAAAAATGCTGCAGATTTTCCAAAATTAACTTTTTTGACCTTTTCAAGATCAATACTGAGTAAAAAAAAAATCTCCAAAGATTGCAATCAAATTTTATTGGAGATTTATTCGAATTTTCGGAAATACCCTGCCATTCTCTGCGCGATGACAGGTTACCGAGATATCATTGGTGGATGACAAAACAAACCTTTTTAATTAAAAATCGGATATCTCGGCGACAAATGATCGCATCGATATTTTAAAAACATAATATTAAAGCTGAATAAACGGACTCTCCGATCAAGGTCATCACAGCCTAACAGAAGACATTTTTTTAAAGCCCGTGGACCAAGAAGAAGTCAAGAATCTCTCAAAAAAATTTCTTGTGCCAACCTGAAAACTAGAATATTACAGCTTAAAAAAAGTTTTTCTAAAGTTTCGATACGACCATTTTTCACGGAAATACAGCCTGCCAAACATCATCGATTTTTTTTCTTGCTTCCTTAAATTTTTATGACTAGTGTATATTTTGTTCCTGGACATTTTTTGAGTTAATATACTTTGTACTGAATATTTCCATTTAAAGAAGTTGTGGTATATGTTGCAGCTAAGGTTGCACGCCATATTAGCCCCGTATTTTGTTCTGCAACATGTTGCGTATTGTCTCCATATCAACAAACTGGCACATTACATGCAATATGTTGCGGCTTAAATTTGTTGCAATGGAAACATGCCTTTAAGCGTTCATTGTTATTTATTAGCAGACAGTGTCTGATATAAAGTGCTTTTCAAACTGTGACAAGTAGTCTATTATAGGCGGATGATCATCTTAAAAGAAACACTTTTTTAATGAAAAAAAGAAAACAGCAGAAATAACATATTAAAAGTTTAAAATGTGTTTGTTTAACATGTATTATATAAATAAAGATACATCAAAAAAGTTATACGTAATTTTGGAATTTGCATTTTTTCAGAATCTGATACACATATTACAAGCATACGAACTGTGTAAAAACCGTGAATTATTTGGTAAAAAAGCAAGTAATTTTCATTTGAACAGATTGTTTTTTGTATAATTATTTAGAACAGCAAGTTGAATTTTATTTAATTTGGTAAGTGTGGCTGTACTGTCTTTTTCTTGCTGACTTGCAACTTTTTTACTCAGTCTAATGCCTCCGTAGTTATCACTGGAAGCTCTTTTTCATCGCTGTTTTCAAGTTCGTCTTTCTGTTCGTTATCGACGGATCCTTTATTAATCAAATTGGAGTCTGACAATTCCTGTGTTGCTATTAAATTATTGTCAACATTTACATACATTTGTCTATATTCAGTAAACTATTCATTTTCATTAAATCACTCAATGGAATTTCATCTTCTTGGATTAAAATCGTTGACTATTTCAGTCATGTTTTTCACTAAGCCAGCATGGCGTAAACAATTACGAATCGTTTTTGAAGTAAGCAATTCCCATGCAATAGTAAGCAAATTTATAGCATCTAAAATCTTGACAGCTTTGGAATTGTTCACATCTTCTTGAAGCTCCATAATATTCATCAACATATGTTTCCGATACATTTGCTTAAGACTCCAAATCAACAAGAGCATATTTCACGATTTTTCTTAAAAAGTTCATCGTCCCACTTTTTTTTTATATATTTACAAGCTTTATTATTTCCAACATAATCGACGGGAATTGTTTTAACATTTTTGAAACGGTACTGTTGCATCTGGTAGAACTTCGAATTTGTTTTTTCCGATAGATTATTTTAAATGAAAAAAAGTGTGGATGAAGCACGCTTGTCTAGAACATTTTTTCCCAAACACTGTATTTTTAGCAGTTATCTTCATCATTATTTCCACCGCCATCGGCCATATGACGTTGACGTATGTGCATATGTCATGTATGAGAGGCGCGTGCCTGCGGTGTTGCCGCATTTAAGGAAAAATATGGAAAGTGGAAAATTTATAATACATATATTAATTAATATAAAATAACGATCGTTAGCTAAAAAACAATGAATTGTCAATACTTATAACAAATAAAAAGTAGTAAAACAAAAAACACTGTTACATGTAATTATAAAAAACAAATAACAAACAGTAAAATAAAAAGCGTTTTTTCATAATTACATGGAATTGTTTTTCATTTTACTACTGTTTTTGCTTTTTGTTTCTTGTTATCACTTAGAATAGCTTTCTACACCTTGTTTTACTGTTTACTTTTTATAATTACATGGTATTGTTTTTTGCTTTAACACTGTTTTTATTTTTTGTTTCTTATAATTATTTACAATTTATTGTGTGTCTGCTTACTACTGTTATTTTTTGTTTTATACTTATTAAGAACTGCTTTTTATTTTGCTATTTTTGTTTGTTTCAGTTTTTCCTTTTTGTGTTTCATTGATTAACATAAATGTACATATATAAATTTTCCACTTTTCATTTTCCCTAAATGCGCAGCCCAATCCGGCAACACTGCAGGTAAGCGCCTCTCCTAATATGACATATATAAAGAGGGTAGTCCGACAGATTATTTTAAATGAAAAAAAAGTGTAGATGAAGCACGCTTGTCTACGAGTAGAACATTTTTTCTCTCAAACACTGTATTTTTAGCAGCTATTTTCACCATTATTTCCACCGCCATCGGCCATATGACGTTGACATCTGTGCATATGTCATGTATGAGATGCGCTTGCCTGCGGTGTTGCCGGATTGGGCTCCGCATTTAGGGAAAAATATGAAAAGTAGAAAATTTATAATACATATATTAATTAATGAAACCACAAAAATAAAAAGCGATTCTTAATAAATATTGAACAAAAAATAAAGATAGTAAGATAAAAAACAATAAATTGTCAATACTTACAAAAAATAAAAGGTAGTAAAATAAAAAAAATATTCCATGTGATTATAAAAAACAAATAAAAAACAGTTAAATAAATTTTTTGTTTTTATAATTACATGGAATTGTTTATCATTTTACTATTGTTTTTTCTTTTTGTTTTTTGTTATTTAGAATAGCTTTCTATTTTACTGTTTATTTTTTATAATTACATGGCATTGTTTTTTGCTTTACCACTGATTTTATTTTTTGTTTTTTATAATTATTTACAATTTATTGTGTGTCAGCTTACTACTGTTATTTTTTGTTTTATACTTATTAAGAACTGCTTTTTATTTTGCTATTTTTGTTTGTTTCAGTTTTTCCTTTTTGTGTTTCATTGATTAACATAAATGTACATATATAGATTGTTCACTTTTCATTTTCCCTAAATGCGCAGCCCAATCCGGCAACACCGCAGGCAAGCGCCTCTCATATATGACATACGCACAGACGTCAAAGTCATATGTCATGTGAAAATAACTGTTTTCTTAAAAAGTACAGCGTTCCACTTTTTGTTAAATATTTCCAAGCTTTATTACTTTCCAACATAATCGACGGGAATTGTTTTAACATTTTTGAAACGGTACTGTTGCGTCTTGTAGAACTTTGAATTTCGCTATTTTTTCACTTGAAACTTATAGTGGGTAGTCCGACAGATTATTTTAAATGAAAAAAAAGTGTAGATGAAGCACGCTTGTCCGCGAGTAGAACATTTTTTCTCTCAAACACTATAATTTTAGCAGTTATTTTCACCATTATTTCCACCGCCATCGGCCATATGACGTTGGTGTCTGTGCATATGTCAAGTATGAGAGGCGCTTACCTGCGGTGTTGCCGGATTGGGATCCGCATTTAGGGAAAAATATGAAAAGTGGAAAATTTATAATACATATATTAATTAATGAAACACACACACACACATATATCCTTGGAGCGGAACCTTGTTTTATTTGGGTTGAAATATGAACAAAAAAAAACTGCTTCACTCCTTTTCACTTTCTGTCCCCCAGGGTCATCCCCTTAAATATTTTAAATGACAAGGGGTATCGAGTAATAGCTTGTTTGAAAGGTATTTCGAAGTCCTTTATTTTGATATTTGAAAAATCTTTATTTAACTTAGATAGAAAACACAAACACACGAAAATGTCACTTTTTATTTCAATAAGTGTTCAAAATGTTGCCCGTTATTGTCCAAACAATGGTGTAGGCAATGTCCAAATTCCTGACGGACATTTTCAAAAACATGTGGGATATCACGGCTCGTTCGAAAAATGAATAATGGATGCTTTTGTGAGAAGCACTGAATTGTCTTTTTATTTGATATAATGAAAGAATTCAATAGATCTCCAATTAGTATTGGTGATATATTTATTTACAAGCGTTTTTGTATGTGCGTTGAGTTAGAGTAATGTAACGTTTTGTAATCCTTTGTTTGGTTTATATTAATAAAAATAAGTTTATTTGAATCAGTTGTTTTGTTTTGACTCCGTCAACTTCAGGGTAAGTATTTACTTTTGCAAAAAGGCTTAGCATTTTCAAAGAAAATATGAGAATGAGCATCATTTAGATCGTCAATCGTTGTGTTTTTCTTATTCAGCGCTCTTGTCGGAATTCGTTTAGCTCAATTAAAATAATTTAACGTACTGGCTGAAATAGAAGTTTTAGGTTACAGATAAAAATAAACCCGAGAAATAGGCAGTGTTCTAAATTGATTAGATCGTGGTGATCTCCCTCAAAATCCTGTTGGATCTTAAAATTTGCATATTTAGCTTGATTTTGTGTGAAATTTTGAGACTTTTTGGGATTCCCCGCCTGGAAAATTTGCTATCTCCGTTTTTAAAAAAGTTTTAACAGTGAGACAGCAAAGGGCTTAGCATTTTCAAAGCCATACGCAAATATGAGCCTGAGCATCATTTGTTCATTTATTTATTTATTTATTTATTTATTTCCAACAGGTGAAACCCAATTGCAGGAAACGCTGAAAAAAAATAACAATTAAAGATACATGGTTCTTGGACTTAAATCTATAGTATCACACATTCTAAATAAGATTGGATGATCTATAGCAGTTAATAATCGATGCACAACTGTCACTGTAAATATCACACGATTCAGTAACACTGTTCATGACGCAGCACATGAGATTAATTGGCGATTTTGTCATAACATTTGTACGGCCAGCTTGACAATAGAATGCCGTTTGTTGTCGACTCCCTAGCCTTGGAACGCGGAAACATATTTTTTCAAGTAAATTTTGACAGTCAATTTTATTGTGAATGAGGCAATACAAAAACGACAAAGCAAATATGTTTCGTCTTGTTGACAGTGAATTCAAATTGAAAAACTCTAATAGGGCACTATGGTCACAACCTCTTTCTGGATAAGAACCTGTGCATTTAAGGTGAAAATACTTTAAAGCTTTATGTTGAATGGCCTCAAGGGTCACGACAGAATTTTGGTATATAGGAGACCAGATCAGAGTCGCATACTCCAACTTGCTCCTGACAAAAAAAGTCATTAATGTATCAATATTGGAGAAACCCTTCCAGTTTCTGATACAGAAACCAAGTAGTCGAGTGGCAGCCGATGAGATATTGAGAATATGCTCAGTAAACGTTAGCTTGGTATCAAAAATGACTCCAAGGTCTCTATAAGAGGTGCATCTGTCTATAACCTGACCATTGATGTTATAATTATCATAAATTAAATAGTTAACTTTTCTTGTATAAGTCAAAACTTTACATTTCGAAACATTCAGACTGAGACAGTTTCGTGAACACCATGACGAAATTAGAGCTAAGTCATCTTGCAGCATGACGCTATCCTCGACTGTCTTGACTGACGTGCAGATTTTAATGTCACCAGAGAAAAACAAATGGAAACACTTCAGTTCAAAACACGTCATTAATAAATATTAAAAACAATAATGGACCTAGATTTGACCCTTGAGGTACCCAAGACGTGGCCCGATAGTAACTCGACCTATGACCACCATATTCGACAAATAACCTTCTATCCCTCAAATATGAATTCACGAGCGACAGCATTGCATCAGACATACCCACTGTTTTAAGCTTATCCAGAAGTGCATAATGATCAACTTGATCAAACGCCTTCTGAATATCTGTGTAGATGACATCAACTTGTCCCTGACCGTCCAGTACTTCAGAAATGTACTGAGTAATCAGAGCCAAGTTGGTGACCGCAGATCTGCCTCTCATAAACCCATGCTGATTGATAGAGACTGCACCCCTGACCGAGCAGTAAACCGTTTCATAAGCGATGATCTCAAACAACTTGCTGAAATTGCACAGGATTGCTATTTGGCGATAGTTGGAAATATCACTTTTGTGAATAGGACATATTGTAGAGGTCTTCCAGATATTTGGATATGTCT